ATCTTAACAGGATGAAATGCAACTATCGGGGTTGGGAAATAAATTTTCATGTTGATGCGGGTTCAAATCCATACTATTTCGCGACGGTAATAGAATATGAAGACGAAGGCATTGCGGCGGTGGATCTTCAGGAAGCTGGTGGCAATGCATGGGTTCCCATGCAGCAATCGTGGGGTGCGATTTGGAAATTGAATTGGGGAACGCAATTAAGGGCTCCTCTCTCTTTGAGGGTTAAGTCTAGTGAATCTGGTAACACTATTGTGGCCAGAGATGTGATTCCTGCGAACTGGCAACCTGGCAAAACTTATGTGTCCAAAGTTAATTTCATGTCTTGAGTGAAATGGTTCCAAATTATATATGTTTCTTAGCAGTTTTCCCAAACAGATGATATTACTCCCTCAGTCTATCTCATAATGTAAGACCTTTTTTTAATAAAAAATAATAATTAGAATTTGTTCTAAAATAATACCTTTTTTTTTTAATCTGGATTTAGTTATGTACTTTATTCATTCATAGTTACTAAGAAATTTATCCTTTTTGCCTCAAAATAACTTCTTCTTTTTTTCAAATTAAGGATTTTGAGATAATTCATATATTTATCTATATTACTTTTAAGATGAAATAAAAAATAAAGTTAGATTTTTTTGATAGAATAATTAATTAAAATAAATAGATAATGATAAGGTTGAATTAGAGAAAAAATATTTGTCTGCCTTACATAAAAAGCAAAAAAAGACCATTAATTTTTTTTTTTATCTTGGTTGCACAATGGGAAGCAATTATTTCTCATCATCTATCTTAGCTCACTTACATGTCATGTGATTCGAACTCAACATCTATTACTTCCAACGGAAGAAGATGGCTACTAAGTTATTTAAGTCGTTGGTAAAAAAACAATTAATTTGAAACAAAAACTTAAAGTTAAAAAATGACAATTATTTTAAAACAGAAGAAGTATTTATTAAAATAATTAAGACTTATTTTTTTATTTTTACCTTTACTTATAATTAAATAAAAAAAATTTTAACACATGTCTATCTCTTTTGTTATAAGGGTAAAATTAAAATATTATCATTAATAATATATGATAATAGTGTTTATCCGCCTTACCTCTTAAAGATTACGAAGAATATTATTTCAAAATTATGTTATTTTAATAAACATTTATTGAAAATGACTAAAATATCTTATTTGTAAAGTATGAATTATGATGTTTTTTATATTTTTTTATAATATTTTATTAAAATAAAATAGTTTTGAAATAATTTTTTTACTAATTTTTTTAGATAAGACAAACAAATACTGACCCCATAATATATTTAGATGAAGAAAACCAAAATAATTTAATTAATTAAAGAACTCTTCTCTTTTTCTCTACCTTATTTTCCATTCTCCTCAACTCAACTCAAATATGGTTAATGTTGTATTAGAATGGTACATTGTGTTCCCATTAAAAAAAATTAGAGAGAGAGAGAGAGAGAGAGAGAGAGAGAGAGAGAGAGTAGTATATTGTGCCCGTTAGAAAGAGGCAGACGGACACACAGTGATAGACGGGGTAAAGAAGTATGGGCTTGGCCGTGTGAGGTATTTTAAGTTTAGTTCTCCCGAAGGCCCACATTTACATAAAACAGCTACCCAGGATTTTAACAATCTTAGTATTTTATGCGTAACTCTGGGCTGAAGGTCCAAAAATAAATACAGCAATTCGAGCGTAGTAAGTTTGGGGTCTGGACTGCTACTTTATATTCTTGGGACATTTAGACGAGGCATTGGTGTGACATGGCTGATGAGAGATTCCACTGCATTGTTAAAAGCAAAATTGAGTTGTTCATTTATAGTCAAGCAAAAATTATTACAATCTAGCTTGTTGGGTACAAGAGACACCAAAAGAATGCAACATTACACCTCAAATTCTTTAATCTTTTGTGGGTTTATATATATATATATATATATATAATCTGGCTTTGCTTGTACCCACTGTCATAACCCAATTTTTAATTGGGGCTAAGTGAGAAAAGTA